GTTACAAATTTTTTTCTAAGTAAAGTTTTAAGTATATGCTATGCCCTAAAGATTTCAGTTTAAAGTATAATTTTTTTACTGCTCTCCAAAGAACCTTTTGCTTTTCTTTTGTTTTCTCTTTGATCAAAGGTTTATCTGGGAGAGTGTTTTTTAATTTCCAAGTAGTTATTTTCTGGTCATACGTTTAGTATTGGTTTCTAACTTAATTGGATTATGGTGAGAAAATGTAATCTATAAAATCTCTACTTTCACATTTGTCATAGTTTTACTTTATTTTGGCCAAGTAGGTTAATAAGTCTATTTTTCTGGTAACTGGGGTTTGGAAAATTACACGTATCCAGAGAAATGTTCCCTGAAAAGCCTCATGGTGATGTGACCAGGCAACCTGCCCTGGCACCTAAACATTCAGTCCCCATAACAATTGGCCTCGTTTCATTGTCCCATCGCAAAATGCATTCTAACTTGCAAATCTAGAGCCATTATACCTCTAAGTAGAAAACAAAGCAATTAGTTATTTGTAATAGTCAGATGATTATTTTTAATAGCTGGATGATTGTATCACCTTGGAATTTAATCAAAACAAACCAAAGGCATGTAATACTCTTGAGTTATGCCCAGCAATAACTTGGTTTAAGTTTTCATTTTCCAACCTGGCATCTCAACTCCTCCTCAGTATTAGTAACTCAAGCAAACCTGCTGCCCACCCACAAATCCAGAAGAAAACCATCTGTCTCATACATCAGGAAGACCTCAGCATGATTCACTGAACCCTTGAGGTGAAAGAGATCAGAACTAATTTTTTTTTCTCAGCTCACTGTAATCTCTGCCTCCCAGGTTCAAGCAATTCTCCTGTCTCAGTCTACTGAGGAACTGGGATTACAGGTACCTGCCACCATGCCCAGCTAATTTTTTGTATTTTTAGTAGAGACGGGGTTTCACCATGTTAGCCAGGATGGTCTCGATCACCTGACCTCAGTTGATCTACCCTCCTCAGCCTCCCAAAGTGCTGGGATTATAGGCATGAGCCACTGTGCCCAGCCAGAACTATTTCAAATACAAGTAACTGCTGAAATATTTAGTCCCACTGAGGCTTGAGAATTCTGTACTCAGATCAGCCTTGGTGATATAGGACTCTTACAATGAACACACTTGAGAGCGGAAATCTTGTTTAAAATCACCAAGGAAATTCCAAACTTCTACAAAAGAATTAGCAGATATTTTAGCAAGGGTACACTTGGAGGCAGGATGTTATTTCTTCTGATAAAGTGGAAGCTTCCTCAGCTCTCTGGGAGTTTGAGAAAAAAACAAATTATATTATTGAATACCTATTGTGTGCCAGGCATGGCACTTGGCACTATGCATTCTACATACATTATATCTTTTAATCTTTATAAAAGTAGTCATTATAAAAAATAAGCTTATCTACTTATAAACTGCTTGTAAGTATCACATTTTTTAAGTGGTTAGTAAGTGATACCACAGGGAAGTCTCACAGAGGCATAGTATTAGCTATAAAGTTGTCCCAAAAAAAGAGGACATTCACTGTTTTACCATTTTGGGTTAAATTGAGACTCCAGTATTTTTGCTTCTAATTCAGGAAGAATTACCTTAAAATTTGTAAGGTTTCAGTTTGTGATTTCAACAAACATTTGCTTCAAACATAACTGATATAACCACCCACTTACTTTTACATATATATATATATATATATATATATATATATAGAGAGAGAGAGAGAGAGAGAGAGAGAGAGAGAGAGAGAGAGAGGAGAGAGAGAGAGAAGGATCTCATTATGTTGCCTAGTTTGGTCTCAAACTCCTGGCCTCAAGTGATCCTCCTGTCTTGACCTCCCAAAGTGCTGGGATTGCAGGTGTGGGCCACCATGCCCAGTCCATTTACTTTAAGGTAACTGTGACATTATTAATTAAATATTCAAACTCTTCTAATCAAACGAGCTCATGAAATCTAATCCTACACCTGACTTTTATTTACACTATTGACCTAAGCACACAGGCAATTCTAACTACTAACCTAAATGATTTTTTAATTGGCACAAAGTTCAAATATACAACCTGCCTTTCATTTTAGATTCATCTTCCTTTCATCCATTTTCACTTTGCATCTCAGTTTCAGCCATACTAAAACAAATCTAAGTATTCAAATTTCACATTCACAGATTCCTTGGTTCTCAATTTACCAAGGCCATTCTTCCCTGCCTTTTTCACCTAACCAATAGCTCTTCATTACACACACACACACACACACACACACACACACACACACAGAGTCACTCAAAATGTGTCTTTTATGGGATCTCTCTCCTACCTACCTTTCCCCACCATATAATTAGACACTTCCTTCTAGGCTTCCTTTCTTCCTTAATGCTCTTACTTTCATTGCTCCATTCAACAAACTTTTTTTTCTTTTTTTTCTGGTTTTTTTTTTTTTTTTTTTTTTTTTTTGAGATGGAGTCTTGCTCTGTCACCCAGGCTGGAATGCAGTGGTGCAATCTCTGCTCGCTGAAACCTCCGCCTCCTGGGTTCAAGCCATTCTCCTGCCTCAGCCTCCTGAGTAGCTGAGATTACAGGCGCCTGCCACCACATACGGCTAATTTTTTGTGTTTTCAGTAGAGACAGGGGTTTCACTATGTTGGTCAGGCTAGTCTTGAACTCCTGATCTCATTATCCACCTGCCTTGGCCTCCCAAAGTGCTGGGATTACAGGTGTGGGCCAGCACGTCCAGCCCTCAACAAACATTTCTAAAGCTCTTATTATCTATAGGTTCTTTAATAGGTGCTGGGAATACAACAATAAATAAAACATAAAACTTCAAGTGGTGTCAAAAAAAGACAATTAGACCTGTCAGCTGGTCAGAGTAGCAATGACTTTCAGGAAGGCACCCAGCATTTTGAGCCCAGCCCTGGAGAATTTAATGGGTAGGGAAGACAACAGAGAAAAGGAGGAAGAAGGGCCTTCTGGGCGAAAGGAATTACATGAGTAAAGTCAGAGAGATGGAGAAGAGGTAAGCTTTGTTGATGGCAGAAAATAAGTTTCTCCATCCCAGGCATTTAATTTAAAAAAAAAAAAAAAAACTAAACTAAAACTCAAGAGGCTAAGGCAGGAGGATTGCTTGAGGCCAGGAATTCAAGACCAGCTTGGGCAACAGAGTGAGACTCCTGCTTTTAAGTATTTTTTAAAAAAACTTTAAAACTGCTTACTCAAAAACTTTTTCAAGCTATAATAAAAGTAAGAGATAATCATGGAAAGTAAAGTCTAATTTTATTTCTAATTGTTTATTAATTTCTGGTGCTTTCTTAAACCCAAAAAGGCTCATTAATGATATGTTAACAACACATAAATTTCTAATTTCATCAAAAGACAAAAGAAGTTGTTTTTGTTTTTGTTTTTTTGAGACGGAGTTTCACTCTTGTTGCCTAGGCTGGAGTGCAACGGCACAATCTCAGCTCACTGCAACTTCCGCCTCCTGGGTTCAAGTGATTCTCCTGCCTCAGCCTCTGGAGTAGCTAGGATTACAGGCATGTGCTACCATGCCTGACTGTCAATTTTGTATTTTTGGTAGAAATATGGTTTCTCCATGTTGGTCAGGCTGGTCTCAAACATCCGACATCAGGTGATCTACCCACCTCGGCCTCCCAAAGTAGGGGGATTACAGGCATGAGCCACTGCACCAGGCCAAAAGAGGTATTTTATACTCCTCCAATAAGCTCTGTGAATAAAGATAAGTAGTTCAATCATAACTAGTTCACCCTCACCTCCCATGTAAGAGTGAGAACAAATCAAGACAAGAGAAACTTTGGTGCAAGGCTCCCAGGCCATTCTATCAGGATGACAGGGGTCCTTGTCCAGTATCTGTCTTCCTTTCATAGGACCTAATGCATACATACAGGCTGAAGCTCTCATCCTCAGTGGTTGTGTTGAAAATAACTAATCTAAAATGTTATCCTCTTTTGATGGAAGTAATCCATGAACTGACCAACAGAAACAAAACTTTTGAGAGTAAACAATGTTACTACATAGGGTTACTTAATCCTTAAAAATATTTTTCAATCTTTTCAACCTGCAATTTTTACACATAATTCTGCAGAACCTTGGACAATATATATGTTGCAGCACATACCTGAGGCTACGCAAATTGGAATGAGATAAGGAAGCAGAAATCAGATACCATCATGCCCAAAAGAATGCTGTAAACTTGGATGGCCACCTGCCCAGTTCATGATTATCTCAGTTCAACAGTTCAGATGGCTTATGGTGTTCCTTTGATATTACATCAGTTTATGTCTCTTACCAGAAAGTGTGATGGAAATAAATACCCCCAAGTGAGCAGGATGAGCCATTGTGATCCACAGCATGCCCTGAATTAGACTATATTTTATATTGTAATCAAAAAATGAAATGAAATCACAGGTCAACATCATCACCCCTCTCCCGCAAGGACTGAATAAAATACAGTGAGCAAATATACTTGGTTTAGAATAAGCAAAATCTTTAAGTGGATTAATTACTCCTTGCTCATTATGAACTATTTTGCTATAGAGGAAGCATAGGTCTAATCTCTGAAAATTAAACAAAATTGTATTAGTTCATTCTCATGCTGCTAATAAAGACACGCCCAAGACTGGACAATTTATAAAGGAAAGAGGTTTAATGGACTTACAGTTCCACAAGGCTGGGGAGGCCTCACAATCATGGCAGAAGGCAAAGGAGAAGCAAAGGCACATCTTACATAGTAGCAGGCAAGAGAGCTTGGGCAGGGGAACTTCCATTTATAAGACCATCACATCTTGTGAGACTTACTCACTACCATGAGAACACTAGGGGGAAACCCACCTCCATGATTCACTTATCTCCACCTGGCCCTGCCCTTAACACATGGGATTACTACAATTCAAGGTGAGATTTGAGTGGGGGCACAGCCAAACCATATCAAAAATCTATGTTGACTGTATGGTGCTGTGGTCTAGACACTTCTGGGACAGCATGTCTCACTTGCCGATGAAACTCCTGTGCAAGAAGACTGAGAAGCGGAACCTCAAATTGCAGCAGTGGAACCTGAAGTTGCAGGGGGCCTCAAATCTGACCCTATCAGAAATTCAAAATGGAGATGTGTCTGAAGAACACTGGGAGCTGGAAAGTTTAAAAAATCAAAACATTCTATGAATGTGGGCTTGTCAGAAGCTCAAAATGGAGACCTGTCTCATGAAGCAGGGAAAAATATAAAAGTTAAAAATCTCCCCAGAAATCTATCGTATTAACCAATGGAGAAGCAGCAATGCAGTCTCCCAATTCAGAATCAAAAGAGAAAAATGCGGAATGATGCTGGCCCTGATACAAGAAAAGCAGAAACTGAAAACAAAGGGGATTCTGAATAAGAAAGTACCAAGACTCCTAAAGAAACAGAAAGTAATGTGTAGAAGCCAGATCATGATGGAGATGACAGTGAGATGCCCAGCCTGCCCCTGAAACTCGCAGGAGCTTTTGAGGATATTTCATTGCTTCTCTATGCCATCTTGTCAATGAAAACACTCTGAATGCAATAAAAGAAATGGGTGTTACAAACATGACTGAAATTCAGCATAAAACTATCAGACCACTCTAGAAGGCAGGGATCTTCTAGCAGCTGCAGAAACAGGCAGTGGTAAAACCCTGGCTTTTCTCACCCCTGCAGTTGAACCCACTGTTACGTTAAAGTTCAAGCGCAGGAACAGAAGGGGAATCCATATTCTCTCACCTAGCAGAGAATTAGCCATGCAAACTTTTGGTGTTCTTAAGGAACTAATGACTCAGCATGTGCATACTTATGGGTTGATAACGGGTGGCCGTAACAGATCTGCTGAAGCACAGAAACTTGCTAACAGGATCAACATCATCTTGGCCACACCAGGGTGTCTGCTGGACCATATGCAGAACACCCTGGGGTTTATGTATAAACATCTGCAGTGCCTGGTTATTGATGAAGCTGATCAGATCTTGGATGCTGGATGTGAAGGGGAATTAAGGCAAATTATTTATTTATTTATTTATTTTTGGAGACAGAGTTTCGCTCTTGTTACCCAGGCTGGAGTGCAATGGCGCGATCTCGGCTCACCGCAACCTCCGCCTCCTGGGTTCAGGCAATTCTCCTGCCTCAGCCTCCTAAGTAGCTGGGATTACAGGCACGCTCCACCATGCCCAGCTAATTTTTTGTATTTTTAGTAGAGACGGGGTTTCACCATGTTGACCAGGATGGTCTCGATCTCTTGACCCCGTGATCCACCTGTCTCAGCCTCCCAAAGTGCTGGGATTACAGGCGTGAGCCACCGCGCCCGGCCTAAGGCAAATTATTAAACTTTTGCCAACACGTAGATGGATTATGCTCTTTTCTGCCACCCAAACTCGAACAGTTGAAGACCTGGCGAGGATTTCTCTGAAAAAGGAGCCGTTATACATTGCTGTTGATGATGATAAAGCTAATGCAACAGTGGATGGTCTTGAGCAGGGACATGTTGTTTGTCCCTCTGAAAAGAGATGCCTTCTGTTTTTTACATTCATTGAGAAGAACCGAAAGAAGGTGCTCATGGTCTTCTTTTCATCTTGTATGTCCGTGAAATACCACTGTGAGCTGCTGAACTACAATGATTTGCCCGTCTTGGCCATTCATGAAAAGCAAAAGCAAAATAAGCGTGCAGCCACATTCTTCCAGTTCTGCAATGCAGATTCAGGAACACTATTGTATACAGATGTGGCGGCAGGAGGACTGGACATTCCTGAAGTCAACTGGATTATTCAGTATGACCCTCCAGATGACCCTAAGGAATATAGGCATCGTGTGGGTAGAACAGCCAGAGGTCTAAATGGGAGAGGGCACGCCCTGCTCATTTTGCACCCAAAAGAATTAGATTTTCTTCATTATTTGAAACAATCCAAGGTTCCATTAAGTGAATTTGACTGTTCCTGGTCTAAAATTTCTGACACTCAGCCTCAGCTTGAGAAATTGATTGAAAAGAACTACTTTCTTGATAAGTCAGCCCAGGAAGTGTGTAAGTCATACATACGAGCCTATGATTCCCATTCTCTGAAACAGATCTTTAATGTCAATAACTTAAATTTGCCTCCAGTTGTTCTGTCATTCAGTTTCAAGGTGGCTCCCTTTGTTGATCTGAACATCAACAGCAATGAAGGCAAGAAGAAAAAGTGAGGAGGCAGTGGTGGATTTGGCTACAAGAAAACCAAGAAAGTTGAGAAGTCCAAAATCTTTAAACACTTTAGCAAGAAATCATCCGACAGCAGGCAGTTCTCCCACTGAAGACATGCCTTTCTTTCATCTTGAATAACTTTGTCCTAAAATGAATTTTTTCCCCTTGATTTAACAGATTTTTTGTAACTTTTAGAATTTGGACTTATCTAACAAGAGTATAAATTGACTTGGGTTGCAAGCACTGAGCACTGTTACTTCTATCAAGTTTCTTTTTTATTTTGGGGATGTAAAACAGCCTTTAATTTTCTTGGTTCCCCAAGGGCAGAGCAAGGAATATCTGGTCTTATTGTGATTATATTTTTTAATTTTAAATATCCCTCCCTCATACATACAAATATATGTTACTGTTTTAACGTAATTCTTTTTGTACCTTTAAAAAACATCTATGTTAATACAGCAATGTTATCTCATCTGAGTACTTTCACAAATATCATCTCATTTAATACTTACAACAACCCTTCAGGTGAGGTTTTATTATTCCCATTTTATAAATGAGGGAACTGAGCATTGAAAGATAAACTGAATTCCCTGAGGTCACACAGTTACTGGCACATTGTGCACTAGAACCCAATGACCAAGTCAAGCGAGTTTCAACTGAAGCAAGCTTGTCCAGCCTGCAGCCCTGTGACCCAAGATAGCTTTGAATGCAACCTAATGCAAATGTGTAAACTTTCTTAAAACATTATACAATTTTTTTGTGATTTTTTTAAAGCTCATCAGTTCTCATTAATGTTAGTGTGCTTTACGTGTGGCCCCTTCTTCTTCCAATGTGGCCCAGAAAAGCCAAAAGATTGGACACCCTTGAAGTAGAGTGCCCTTGCTTCCCAAATAAAGTTATAGGTAAAATCAAGCTCCCCTTTTTTCTCATGTCAGGATCTTTTTTGGAAAGATAACAAAAGCACGTTAATGCAAAGCCTTTAGTTCTATTTTTAAATGCCTACTTAGGGCAAAAGGCCAGGTATTCTGCCAAAACAAATTAGATAATATTCTGGTATTAGCAGATTCTCAATCTTGACCAAGAAGAAAAATATCCAACATAATATATATTGAGAAGAGAGTCCAACAACTCTGAATACACTGAATTCTCAGCCTTGGCCTTCTGCAAGAAGGAAGAGGCAAGTTTCCCATATGAGAGAACAGTCAAAGAGTATGACTCAAGGACTATTTCAGTACAAGATCTTATTTCAACCCTGTTGTCCATCTGTTTGCTGAGAATGTAAGTTGTCTAGTTCCAACTCAGAAAAGAGGATGAAATCATCTGCTGAAGCCACATAAACAGGAGCCCCACAAAGCCACACTGTGATGACAAGACCTAGCCATGCAATGAGAGGTCAGTGTATACCTTCCCATTATCTGGCTGCATTTCTGTGTAGTCATGGTGCCTCATCCCAGGAAGGCAAGTTGAAGGACCCAGCTAAACAAATGACAAACGCTGTAAGATTTATTCTCTATTTACTGCAGGCTAATGGAGGGGAAAGACAGGCCCAGTGCAGTGGCTCACACCTGTAATCCCAGCACTTTGGGAGGCCAAGGCGGGAAACTCACTTGAGCCCATAAGTTCAAGAGCAGCCTGGCCAACATAGGGAGACCTTGTTTCTACAAATAATCAAAATATTAGCTGGGTGTGGCAGCATGCATCTGTGGTTCCAGCTACTTGGGAGGGTGAAGGGAAAAGATCGCTTGAGCCCAGGAGGTTGAGGCTGCAGTGACCCATGATCACACCACTGCACTCCAGACTGGGTAACAGAGCAAGACCCTGTCTCAAAACAAAGAAACCAACAAATAAATAAAAGAATAATGGAGGGGAAAGAGCAGCTCAAAGAATTGCATACAAAAAATAATTAACATTTTAAATGCATACATTGACTACAGACAATATTTATCAAAAATTGCAGCCAGTCATGCTTTCCTTCCTATTCCTCTTTACTAGCCTCGTTTTTTTGAGTCACTAAGGTCATAAACTTACCACTTTCTACACAGTCCGATCTTTCCTTTTGTGTCATCTACTGCTACTACATCCTTTGATACAGGGAACCCACATCCATTATCCACTAACATACCTCTATGTGTCCGCCTACCTCCTTTACAGTAAGAGGAAAACAGAGGTTCCAGGGAATGCCAAATTTTAGAGAAGCTTAGGGAAATGAATATTTAGAAAGCTAATGAATTCAGGGATTGACCAGAAGAGTTCAGACTCTAATTTTAAGGGTAAGGAAAATTTAAAGGTCATAATTTCAAGGTCAAATCAGCTATGCTGTAGACCAAATTATTTGCAGTTGGGCTAGAAACCTAAATTAGCAAGTACAGAATTGTTTCTATAATAAAATAAGTTCCAGGTTGTAAACAACTAGATACCTAAACATTTAGGAACTCTAAACATTCCCAAGTTTGGGACTACCTACAAAAAAATGTAACAATAAATTTTTCCTCTTGAGTTTCTTTCTCTTTACAGCTGCAGAGGAAAACGGAACGTCTACGCGTATGTAACTGAGTGTTGAGATTTGACCCCCTCCCATTGGAGCTACTTCAATTGAGAAGAAAGTTGGTGACCACCATTTCTTGCTAAGGGCCCTCGTGAATTTATTCCTCTCAGTGTGTCCAATGAGAATAACTGGACCAACTTCTGGATAAGTTGTGACCATTGGGAAACGGACTCTCAACATTATCATAGAGAACAAGCACAACAAGTTTTGGGAGGGTTTTATGTTGGCAAAGGGAGTCCGTTGGAGCTGTAGCCCAAGGGAAAAGCTGAGCTCCAAAGGAAGTGCACAATTTCTTCTGAGCAGACACTCTAACTGTATTCCTGTATAAGAGAGATGAGGTGGGGTGGGGTGGGGGGAAATCGGGCTACAAGGAATGAGACTGTGGAGACAATGAGGATGGATTTCAAAAGAATAAAATCACTGACATGTCAACATATTTGCCAAGCCTGTCCTAGACTTACTTGCTCTTCAAAGAGCTATAATCATGGGTCAAACCTGAAGGGAAACTATTAGACTTCTCCATGTAACAGAGGACACAGAATAGGCTGCAGCCATACCTCAGATGAGTGAGGAAAGACTAGAGTTACACACTCCTACCATTAAAGAATGGTGCCTTCAAATCTCACGGCAGCCATGTTTGGATTATGTAATTTTGCCTTCTCGGCTAAAAGCCGATTGGACCTAGGATGGATGTCTGTTGAAAGTAGAGCCAGCCAGGTGTAATGGTTCACACCCATAATCTCAACAGCTTAGGAGGCTAAGACAGGAGGATTGCTTGAGGCCAGGAGTTAGAGACCATCCTGGACAACAGAGCAAGATCTTGTCATAAAAAAAAGAGGAAGATAAAGAAGAAGGAAGAACAGAAGGAAGGAGGGAGGGAAAGAGGGTGGGAGGAAGGGATGAAGGGAAAGAAAAGAAAAAAAGAATTAGCTGGGCTAAATTAGCTGGTGGTAAGTGCCTGTATACCAGCTATCATACTTAGGAGGCTGAGGCAGGATGATCACTTGAACCTAGGAGGTCAAGGCTGCAGTGAGCCATGACAGTGCCACTGCACTACAGCCTGGGTGGCAAAGCAAGGCCCTGTCTTAAAAATAAATAAAAATACAAATGTAACAGAGCCAATCAGATTTCCCCTAATCGGAATTTGGATTTGGGGACAGCCCATCTCTGTGCCTGCTCAAAGCTGTGCAGCAGCCATATTCCATCATCTGTACACACAGCAGAGAAAGCCAGAGACAGAACATAAAGCAGATGTGCTAGATAGGAGGGATGGGTCATGGGAGGAGAACTCTGGCCTAATAGCTCTCAGTTCCAGTTCCTCCTAGAAGCCAGCTGGAGTCCTATCTTTAGGTTCCTCAAGAGACTCCTTGTCTTTAAAACAACTTTTCCTTTTTAAAAGACACTAGTTCAAATGTACTTCAGTTATTTGAAACTAGAAACAGCTGAAGTAAAACCACATTACCAAAAATTAAATGAAGATTCCACAATGAAAAGAGCATAGACTTTGGAATCCACCAGTGCTGGGTTCAAATCGTGGCTCCTGAATATCAGCTGTCCAGTCAAGAGTAAGAACATAAAACTCACTACTAATTTCCTAGCCTGTCTGAACTTTGGTTTCCTTACTAGAAAATGCAGATAACAACTGTCATATATAGTTGCTGTGAAAATCAGAAAAACATATTTATAGCATCTGGCACATAACAAACACAAAGAATAGCTTCTAGAAGAATTCACTTAGTAGTCATGCTGGCAGTTGTGGTATTGCTATGGCCATCTTGATAGGAAGGCTACATAAAAAATCAGAACTTATGAATACACAAGGGTGTTTTTCTTAAATTCCTTACTTCACAAAATAATTCAATCCAAGTTTCCTTAGTGAGCTAATCTAGCACATTCAAAGTATGCTTTGACTTTTAAAATTTTTTAAATGTATCACCGGCAACAGATGACTTCTGTATTTTAGGGGAAAGTCCTAGGGAAATCCCAGTACTACAATTCTAACTCACCACAGGATCACTACATCAATTCATCTCCCACCTCCATAAATGTTTACATTAGAGCAATGGTTCTAATCCTTATGGAAATCATAGGCCCCTTTGAGAACATGATAAAGCCATGAGCTTTCATTTCAAAAGATTCACATACATATACATACAAAGATTCACATACATATACATACATAAGAAGTTTTGCACATTTTCTGGTATGCGTGGCCCTGCTGAACCACATCTCTGAATCCTCAAAGACTGAGCAGTCTGATCTATTTCTTTCTTGGCCTTTCTTTATATTCTCTAAATCTCAGAATGTGCCCCTGGGTATGACCCACAGACAAGAAATAACCTGCTTTAACACCCCCATTGCTACTCAGGCTAATATCTGTGTTGCTAAAACACAACATAGCAGGTCCCTGCTTGTCTGGGAGTATGATCTAGACATTCCCAAGGTAGTCTTTACATACTTACTCTGCTTACTCCAGAACTTCTGCTGCTCTGTGTTAATCACTGGCTTACTCACACGTCTCTCATATAAAACCGAAAGAGAGCAGAAAATGTGTCTGTCTTTTCTAAGATTATTCTTCACATAGAAAGTATTCAATAAATATAATTATAAATAAGCATATGATATTTTATAAATACAAACTATGATTTATGATGGCCTTTTACTCTATCGATAATACACTCAAGGCAATAAAAGGGTTTGGATCTACTTTAGAACAACCCTCGACAATGTAATTGAGCTGGTCTCGGTTACTTATACCTATAATCCTAGCACTTTGAGAGGCTGATGGGGGAGAACTGCTTGAGGCCAGGAGTTCAAGACTAGCCTGGGCAACATAATGAGACCTCCATATCTACAAAACATAAAAGGTTTGCCAGGCATGGTTCCATG